GTCAAACAAGAATCAGAGACCTATGAATTACTAGATGGATTATGTTGTTACAAGAATAATATAACTATTAAACATATCAAGGCAAAGACAATGTCATCGCAGGTGATTGTCAAGAGTATCGTGACCATACTAAGTTTTTACATTGATGTAATATATTTTATTTTGACAATTTAATTTTTCATTGACATTCAAACTTTTTTAAGGGAGTGGTTTTGTGAGGTGTGTTTTTGTATTGTTTCGTCATGTATATATTAAGTAACATAAAGAAACTTTCTAGAAATTCTAGAAATTGTGAATACAAAATGTTACTGGAACATTCTGGACATACACGAAATTCAAGAATGTTCTAGAAAAAATGACCATACATGTTGACCACTCTGGAACGATTGTATGCAAGTAAGACTGGCGTACCAATAGACTGGATTAACAAAGAGACGAGTACAAAGAGGCTGGGATAGGATAAGCGTTGGATACTCTCACTGGGACATTTGTGTAGTTAAGGACACTCTGTTTGAATGTATGATTGGATTCCTGCTGTAAGTTTGTACTTTTTTAAATTTATATATATTAGTGTAAATAGATAGTTGTTAAGTTTAAACTGTGTGATTGATTTTTGCTGGCATTTTTGGTTATTCTGAATCCTAACAGTTATAAATATTGATATATCCATTAAGTCGACATCTTTTTTGATAAAAAAAATATATATATATTTAAAAACTTATTTTATCTTTTTCTAATTTAGATTTCATCAAGGCCAAACCTTTAAATACAATCGACCCAATAAAGTTTATGTTTATTCAACAATGATTTCGAATCATCTGCCATTTAGAACAGCACGCTCTTATATAATATATATAATACAATATATGTTAAATACCTGATATCAATATTTACAAAAATGTGACAGTAAATGTCTGGGATGGTTTGTCTAGGTAAACACAGACATGTGCTTGGAATGCATTAATTTTCAGCAAAATGTCGTGGTATGCTTGAAGTGATAAGGAAAAAATAATTAAGTACTGAAGCTATTAATTTATATAATCAAAGAACAATTAAAATGCAATACAGACTTAAATATATGTAAATGTAGCTTATATGTAAACTGAATTTGCAAAGAAAAAAAATGTTTGTGTACTACTTTTGTTTTTAAAATGATACAAATATTTTAACTCTAAAAAGAATTCTTTACATTTCTTGTGCAGTTAAAATAAGAGCTAAATCGATATATTCATAGGCGTAAATCCATAGGACCTGCATTTTCCCAGGGTTTTCCCAAACCTTTGGGGTTCATCCATAAGAAGAGTGCGGCCTTTACATGCAACGTAACGGTTAAGGTTTTTGATTCACCAAAATATTATCCGACAATATTACTGATGAAATATATGAAGATAACGAACAGTATTCAAGCTAAAAAGTCCATTAAACATTACAAACCTGGTTCAGAGCAAACACGGACCTCCAAAACATCAGAAATGGGATCAGGTGCCATGGAGGAGTGAGCATCCCCTGCCCACCGGTCACACCCGCCGTGTGCTCCTTGTCATGATCGGGAAATGACGGAAAAATTCGTCGACAATTAAGTGTGAAAATAATGGCCTAACAGTTAGTATGAAAAACGTCAGTCAGCATTTGACTCAATGATAAACTGTATTTGCTGACAAGGTCATTGTATCGACCACAAAACTTACGAAATGATGACTTTAAACGAGACTGCTGATATTCTTGTTTCATCAACTTGTTTGTCAATAATTTACCTCGTTTTAGAAATTGATCGTACGTAGAGCATGTTCTTGCGTGCCGAATCAACTGAGAGATATAAATCACGTATGCAGGTGATGAAGGTATATTACTGCATAAGAAAGGGAAGTTGACAATTGAAAAGTTAAAGTCATCACGTTTATCATAAAGATTGGTTGTTAGATTACCATTTACGTCTATTCAAGTAAAATATCCATATATGAAACAGATGTGTCAGACTCTGTGGTATCTTTTATCTCAAGCTCACCGGGATATATCGTATCGACATAAGAATGGAAATAACCATTGTTACTTGACACTACCTCGTCGGTATATCTAAATGTCGAGTTGAAGGCCACAGCAAGTGTTTTCTTCTTATCACGTATAAAGTTTTGGACAAATTCTGCTTCCTATGAATACAAAAAAAGGTCTGCTAATAACGGGGCGCAATTGGTACCGATCGGAATTCCAATAGATTGTTGGAAGACCTGGTCTCCAAAAACCACATAGATATTGTCAATCAGAAACTCAAACATCTTTTTAATGTCAACTTTAGAGTACTTGTGTGTACAATCAGAATGTTGTTAGCAAAATAATTTTGCAAATGACCAATGACAAGTAAGTAAATTTAAGAGTTCCATTTTTATTGAAAAAGCAGCTGTCAGTGATATCAAAAGGCCTGGATTTTAATTCATCGTGGGGAACGGTTGTGTATAAAGTTCAAAAGTCGTAAGTTTTTAAGCTGTTGAATTTGGTAAAATGTTGTGATTTCAAATTTTCCAAAAGTTCCTTGGAATTTTTAAGTATCCACATCTGATTTCAACATTTCTCGAATATGTCGTTGCACAGTACTCTTGAAGTTTCCCCTTCACTACTGTTAATATCTTAGTGAGGAGTAAAGAAAGAGGCTTGGTTGGACATTTACTGGAACCCGCTATGTATTTTTATTTGTTAGGATTTTTATGAAGTTTCGGAATCCAGTATAGATATGGTAATTCAAATTCATTTTGGTTGTTTGGAATATTAAAAATATTCAAAATAGACATATGATTTTGAAGAATTTCTTCCTTAGAAAGAGAACTATGAGTATAAGTTGGATTACCACTTGTAGAATTAAATCCAAGTTCCTTTTAATTACATTTAATATAATGAGTCTTACAAACAAAGACAATGTTACCTGCTTTGTAAGCAGGGACCAGTACGTACTGATTATGTAATCTATCTACTTTTTTTTCACTTCTGGATTATTGAATACAGAAGGATAGATGGTTCTCTTGGCAACCTTAAATCGCCAAATTTGTGTCCCGCCAAAAAACGGCTTTATAATACGCAGTTGACCGTTAAGGCCCTCAGGCCTCTTGTTAGACATACAAGGTTTTGAATAAATTCTGCTTCATAAGAATACAAAAACAGGTGGTCTGCTAATAGCGGGGCGCAATTGGTACCAGTTGTAATTTCTATAGAAGACATGATCTATAAAAACTACATAGATATTGTCAATCGGAAACTCAAGCATCCTCGTCGATATATCTAAATGTCTAAATATGGAGTTGAAGTCCACAGATTTTCTTGTTCTTATGTAGTTTTTAGTAACTTCTACGTCATTGGAATAAAACCGTCACAGTAGCTCAGTCGATAGAGCGCTCGCTCCATGATCACAAGATCGTGGGTCCAATCCCCGGCCACGACAGACCTAAGTCGATAAAAAATAGAAAGCAGCTGTTCCTTCGCCAAGCGTTCGGCACTTTGAAATGGAAATTGCGGGTCTTTCGAATGAGACCTTAAAAGCCGGTAGGCGTTTGTACAATAAATAACTCTCCTTACTCTATGGCTCTGATGGATGAGTAGAGGTCTAAATGTGAAATCCTTCACCGATAAATTATTATGTATCTATATGAGTGAAAAATTCTCCAACGGGACGTAGAACATATAAAACAGGAATAAATACAGGTCTAATAATAAAGGATCAAAGTTTGTGCCCATAGAAATTTCAACAGACTGTTGGAAGACACGATTTCAAAACATATATAGATATCGTTAGAGAGGAACTCCAGTATCTATTTTAATGTCAACCTCAGAATACCTGTGTGTAGAGTCAGAATGATTTTAACAAAGTCATTTTGTAATGACCAATTACAAAATAGAAAAAATTCCGAGTTCTATTTTTTCTTGAAGAAGAAGTTGTGTAAATAAAGCCTAACATTTAGTTTATCGTCAGGAATGGTTGTATAAAGTGTTGAAAAATCAGACGTTTCCATGTTACTGACTTTTAAGTTTTTGAAATTTGATTTACACTACTTCTTGAATCCTCTGAAGTATCTCCTTCGCAGCAGTCAATATTTTATTAACAAATCATGTTTAACAACTTCCAAATTGAACACAGGGCAAAACGCTGTAGTAAGAGGTCAATTTTCAAGAGGGTCATTTCTAACGTATTAACGTCATTAGGGTCGGGAAAAAATTACCAAGTTGTTAAAAAAATGACCCCGGGTATAAATTTCACAACTCATGCTCTGAATTATCAAAGTTGAAAAGTCAACGCCGATTCAATATTCATCATTGGAAAATGAACCCCAGGTCAATTTTCAACCTGGGTCAAAATTCTTCGATACACCAGCAGAGACTGACCTAAGACGATAAAGAATAGGTAGCAACTTTTCCTCCGCCAAGCGCTCGGCACTTTGAAGTGAAAGTTTCGGTTATTTTTTCCGGATTAGACCTTAAAAACCAAGGCTCTGTGTCACGACAGGCATTGACACGATAATGATCCCTCACCTCTCAATGGCCCTGAATGCCTAGTAAAGGTCTTAGTTTGAAGCCCTTCATCGGTATATGGTAAAGTTTCTATGTGAGTGAAAAATTCTGGAACGGACGTAAAACAACTTACAAAATCGATCAACAAAACAATTTTTAAATAAATTGATATTACTAATGGAGTAATAAGATGATGATGAATTTTTTATGTTTCAGGTGTTTTTCTCTTTTTTCAAACATGTTGTGACAACTCTGAAAAAAGTGTTGCACATATCCTAGTGATCTTGTTCAATTTTGCACATGAATTCTATCTACAATATGTGGAATTATTTATTTTAATTTCCTTGCTAGATGTGATTGAGTGTAAATCATACTGCATGATTTAAATAAAATGTAATTTGAATTTCTAGATTAATTCATAAAGGTCCGAGTAAAAGTAGTCATACCTATATAAAGTAAAATTTTTCTATACGATCCATTAGATTTAATGCCTTTTTTCCTGCTTATAGAACTGCGGTAGGAATAGCTCACTGTGTGTTAGCAACGGTAACTAATGAAACGGACTCCACCTGTTTGACCAAAGACAAAATCAACGTCGCCAACAATTTTATAAACCTGATTCCCAAACAATTTTCGACCAGGATAAATTTTTGTAAGTAATTTTCTTTTACATTTTCTTTTCTCATTTCTTTAGAAAAGAATATCTGGTTCTTAGGTCCTCTACATCTTAGGTTTATATTCAAATCGCAGGATCAGTTATTCTTTTAACGTTTTATAATACAATAATACAAATGATAACCACTACATGTTTTAGACGTATAGTAAATGTCTTCACACAACAAAACCACGATTCTAGTATTTGAATGAACCAATCTCTGCTTTACATTTTTTCAATTCAAACTGAAAGAGGAATGTAATTATTAAGACAATTATATTACGTTTTATTTGTTCACTACAAAGGAGACCCGTAGACTAAAATGTAAAATCGCATTTTTCTTCGCAATGACTGAAAACAGTTTCTGAATTGCTTTTCTTATGACTGTTTTTTTTATTCATTGTTGTAGTAGGGGAATGCTTATGGCAATAGAATATGGAGATAACTAATAGTAACCAAAACACGACAAATCGGGAACAAAGCAAACACTGACCTCTAAAAACATTAGAGGCTGGATCAGGTGCCATGGAGGAGTAAGCATCCCATGTAGTAATATTATTCAAATTAGCATTCCAGGAAATTTATTCAGTCAGTACTGCACATCAGTATATTATAATTACAAAAACCATATTACATATATTGCAATAATCAGGTTTTACAAGGAGTCTAAATTGGAAGGGGAGACCCCTTATCAATTCCTTGTTCATTCTTTTAGTATAAAATGAAGGATGTTAGATATAAATACAACATGGTATATATAAAATTGTTTTAAAATATGTGGCAATGCTACTGTAATACTACTATAAACATGTGTAGAAGATTATAAATCAACAAAATTCAAATATACATTAGATCAGTTTGATATTTCAACATGACGTGACAGAAGAACATGATGGATTTAGTACCCAGTGGTGAACAGACTAGATATGTGATGTAAACCCAATAACTGAAGGGATGTACTTGGTGATTCAAGTAATATTTATTTTTTCCCTTAGATATAAATATCTATGCATTGAAGGATAATATGACATCCATCTTAATTTTGATGAGTGTCACAAACATGACATAAACTATCCGAACTTTTCTTGCCTTGATATCTTCCTGATTAAATATTCAAAAGCATGACAAAAATTAAAAGTTAACTGACCGAACTTTGTTTCTTCAATGTGATTGTTGTAGACAATAAGAAAATATTTATGTCAATCCCCTTTTGATTCGATACGCAAGAGTATGCTCTACGTACGATCAATTTTTTTTTAAAACGAGGGAAGCTATTAAGCAACAAGTTGACGAAACAAGGGTATCAACAGTCTCGTTTGAAGTCATCATTTCGCAAGTTTTATGGTCGATACAATGACCTTATCAGCAAATACAATCTATCATTAGGTCAAATGCTGACTGACGTTTTTCATACTAAATGTTAGGCCATTATCGGAACACTGAAATTTCTATGGATTTTTTTTTCTGCTTACCCGATCATGACAAGGATCACAGGGCGGGTGTGACTGGCCGGCAGGGGGATGCTCACTCCATTACAACTCATCCCGAGTCTGTTTTTGGAGGTTGGTGTTTACTCTGCTCCCGATTCGTATTTTTTAAATGAACTACTGCTAGTAATCTCCATATTTCATCTTAGTAATACTACTGTTTAAAAAAGTTAAAAAATGTAACAATATTTTGGTCAACAATGGAAGAACAGTGCAACAGCTCTTAAGGAACCCAGCTTACCATCATAATTAAGCAATAAAGCAGGGAAGGAGTTCCTCTCATATTTTTCTCGATACATAAATATTTTAAAACTGTAATAGCTGGGACTATACCTCAATTATGTTACATTGATATAATATTATTTGATAATGTGCAGTGTATGTGTTTTTATATACAAAATATTGTTTTGTTATCCTTTCATTTTTATAGGCATAAAGAATAACTTCACTGAGTTTCTTTCACCAGGTATTATAGTCAATTAGCGATATAAAATCATGTTCTACATTTTATTTTTAAATTATAGAAAGTATCAGTTTCAGAAATTTAAAGAAAGTGTACATCTACCAAAGTATTACATAATATCTAAGGTAATAATTTTATTGATTACAAGCCTTCTTACATGTAGAATTTTTATGCATTATGTTTTCTCATTTAGATGTAGAAAACACAGTTCAAGACTCAACGACGAATGTAAATCAGACTCTGCTTTTCTGTAAGTTTCAGATGAATAGCAGACCTATTTTTGTATTCACATGAGGCAGAATTTATTCAAAACTTCTACATGAGAAGAAGAAAACACTTGTTGTGGCCTTCAACTCGACATTTTGATATATCGACGACGTATTATCAATTAACAATAGTCACTTTCATTCATATGTCAACTCGATATATCCCAGTGAGCTTGAAATAAAAGATACCACAAATTCTGAAACATCTGTTTCATATTTAAATATTTTGCTAGAAAAAGACGTTAATGGTAGCCTAACAACAAAGCTTAATGATAAACGTGATGACTTCGCCTTTTCAATCGTCAATTCCCCTTACTTATCTAGCAATATAACCCTTCACCTACATATGGAGTTTATGTCTCTCAGTTGATTCGATACGAAAAAGCATGCTCTACGTATGAACGATTTCTAAAACGAGGCAAGCTATTGACAAACAAGTTGACGAAACAAGGATATCAACAGTCTCATTTGAAGTCATCTTTTCGCAAGTTATTCGGTCGATACAATGACCTTGTCAGCATATACAACCTATCAATGAGTCAAATGCTGACTGGCGTTTTTCATACTAATTGTTAGGCCATTATTTATACACTGAATTGTCTACGGATATTTCCGGTTTTTGATTCCCGATCGTGACAAGGAGCACACGGCGAGTAAGTGACCGGTCGGCAGGGGATGCTCTCTCCTCCATGGCACCTGATCCCAACTCTAAATTTTGAGGTCTGTGTTTGCACTGCTCCAAATTCGTATCGTTTCATTGGACTTTCGAGATTGAAAACTGTTCGTTATCTTCATATTTTATGAAGGAGTTTGGTGAATCCAAGTCCTACGAATACCAAATGTTCATTAAGATACAGTGTTTAGATATCGCTTTTCAAAAATGAATAAACATGCACCCTGCAGGATGTTTACATATATTTTTGAAGGAAAATGTATCAACTAATTCAGAACCAAGTATCATGTTCAGAACAATTAAAATATAGCCGTTTAATCCAAAAAGATTATCATTGTGATAAACTATTATTTGCAGCCCTTCGTTCATTTCATGAATAAATATATTAATGTTCCTTAGTTTGTATAACCTTGCCAAGGAGACTGAGCTCGTTTTTTGCTCAATGTAGGCGAAATGAGAACACATGTATTAGAATGAATAATGTCATTTATTTTGTAAATGACGAAAAGATATACATGTATACAAAACAGGGGGTCATTCATAAACATGTAACTATAGTAATAGCACATGTGATGCTGAACACACCCTAGCAAAAAATACTATTGTAAACTATAGTTAACTATAGTTAACTATATAAAACCAAAGTGCCAAAGTGTCAAAGTTATCACTATAGTAAATCATATTTTCAAAGTGATCACTACAGTGTCATAGTGATCACTATAGTGAATCAAAGTTTTCATAGTTATCACTACAGTAAATCAAAGTGTCAAAGTTATCACTGAAGTAAATTGAAGTGTCAAAGTTATCACTGTAGAAAATCAAAGTTTTCATAGTGTCAAAGTTATCATTATAGTTAACTATAGTGAACTATAGTTAAGGTTTTTCCACCCTCACAATTTTAATGGTTCAAAGTAGAAAAAAACTGCATTTATTTTCACTGATTATAGTTTAAATTAACTAACAATTACATAAAATGTCTAGGTTGCCATACTTTTTAAGATGTCAGACATAAATAAACAGAAGTATATTTCATCATGAAAAATCTTACATTTTTAGTAAATTGTATTATAAAAATTATGTAAAAATTGGTTAAAATACATACATAAGTCCGATGCTGAAAGTTCCAAAATAATTTCTACTTTATAAATATGTTTGAATTGTAAATGTCAGAGAAACTATCTTACATAAGAAGTACAATAAAGAAAAGGCCTGAAAGAGTTATTGCCCTTAGCAACATTTTTTAAAGATTAATTAACTAATTAAATAAAGAAAATATACATTTTTAAAATTCTTTAACCCAATAATAATTTTTATTACACCTATTGAAAAGCATTCTTCCAAAAGATATTTTTCTGTTTGGTATGAATTTAAATTAGTAACAGTTTTTGTAAAAACCTATGACATCACAGGAGGATGGAAATACCTTAACTATAGTATTTTCTTTTTTGTTAGGGCAATCATGACCCCCTAAAATATATCGATACTTAATTTTTTCTTAAAGATGTACACGTCATAATAGTGCTGTAAGATTTGTTTTGATTGTTGGATGTGTTTTATATTTTAACTATTGAAATTTTGTAAACTTTATTTCTGTATCTGTAAGATTTCTGCATTCTTTTATCTAAATCTAATGTATTCAACTGGTCAAAGATATGTTCTGCTTTTAATTTATTGCCTATTTGTTTACTTACATTTCAGCACTTATAGGAATGCTCATTTGTTTATTTTTTTGGACAGTAGAATTTATATAATTTCTGTTTCAGTGCTCGTCGGATTTGGGGTTCTTCTCCTTTTTGTCGCCATCTTGGTAATCAGCTTATTGAAAATGAGGTTTGTATTCATTTTCATATCATAACAATAAGTGTTACGCAATGCTACGACACTTAAAAGGAGCTTTATTATTATTAATTAGTGCAGCTTAATAATTCAAGATGTACGGCCAATTTGCTTGACATTGCTGATTATGTTATTTGCTTACCGAATGCATTGCAGTTTTCACTTTTGATTATTTATCATCCTACTAAATAGGCTCATTGGCCCGTTTCTGTAATAGACAGAGAGAGGCTTGTAATTTCTATCATTGATTATAATTAGCAATATTTATTCAGTTCTTTATTTCATGTTTCCTCCTTAATACAATAAATGTCAATATGATATCGTTTTCACCTGTTTCACACTGTTTTTAAGAAATGAATCCGCTTTGTTTGATATCATTACTTTTACACTGAAACAAAGTAGATCAGATGCATCAATGCACTGCAATAAAGATTGGCAATACATAAAAAAATCGAACAGAAAGATGTCCCTTTGTTCATATTTATTTCTTCTTTTCCATTAAAAGCAAAATCTCAGCAAGAGTTAATGTCTCAACTTCAATCCAAAACAATCTTGATTTTTTTTATTGTATGTAAGACTGAACATTAATTTCTTAATCTACCTATTTTCACATTTATTGTAACAGATTTATTATTGAGTCTGTAACTATGTAACTATTTATTAGAAATTTTAAAGTTTCGAAGTCCAACGAATTGCTAATTTGTAGCTGGGAACAGAAAGAAAATTCTTTTTTTTAATCACAGAACAATGTTATTAAGGAAAAGAAGAAAAGACTTGATGCGCCTTCCGAGCATTCCAAAGACAGGGAGTCCTCAGTACGAAGCCACCTTTGTTGTATCAGATGCTCCGCACCTTGATCCCGATTATGACGTCATAGAAGAGATGGACGAGGGTTATGAATGCTTACCCAAACCAAAAATAGAGAGCACAACACAGACATTTTCAGAACAAAGAAATTTTAACACTGAAGAACCATATATTGTACCTAACAATGTAGATGCATCTTATCTTGAGGCATTGCATGTTAGGAAAAATATCATTGATTACATAAATATCCATCCTTATATAGATATAGTGGAGTATGCTGTGGATAATACCGTAGATGACCAGTTTTTTCAAAGCAGGAATGGAGAAAATCTGAGAAATTTAGAAACGCAAACAGCATCGAGTAATGAAAAAAAGTAGCTAACAATTTTGAAAAATCAATGTTTATTGATTCAATAGACCTTTTTCCACTAAATATGCTAAACTGTCATCTTAATAACAAATTATCAATCGATAAGTGATTCAATAAAATAATGGAATCAAATATGTTAAGGTCAAGATAAGTACATGTAAATGAGTTTATACTGTCTTTTTGATGCTAGATCCATTATGACTTCATAATTAATTTAAACCCACTTTTTCCTGTACTATACAGCTTTTAAAGTATTATGTAGGAAATAGAATACTTTTATGGTATTCAATTCGAAATCATGTCGAAAGTAATTCCGGTATCTATATTCAATATCATTTTAAAGAAGAGGTCAAGGATATGTAAATTACCGGGGTTTTTTTTAGAGAGACTGTAGGCAATCTGGATATATTTGTATTGTTTGATATTGCAAAAAGTCCCATATCTATATCTAATTTTCTTCATTTTTCATTAAAAATGACAGTTTAAAATTTGTTTTTTCATTGAGTTTACCTAACACTTAACGAGGCCGAGTCTAATTCCAGTGCGCATGACTTTGCGCAGCTTTTTAGTTTCATGCAGTCATATCTGCAGCATAACACCTATCCAGGTATTGTAATTGTAACACAAAATGAACATTATCGGTAACTTTTATGGGTCTTAAAATGTGCTTTTAAGACAATATTTAGGAATAAATGCTGAAATGGCTTTCACGACGTCACTGTTTTCCGGTTCTGTAAGCAATGCATGACGTTGAAGAATGACGCTTGACTCGCTTGAGTATTCAAGACGTCCATGGACATTTTGTTAACACTGTTGACAGAACATCAAAAGAAACATACCAGCAATCTAAACGTTGTCATTTTTTACCAAAATAATTCATCTGCGCCGATATATACAAAATGTATGCCGCAATAAGGCAAATTTAGAGGTATTGGGTGTTGGGGGAAAAAAAATTTGTAATATTTCTAGACCACATACCAGATGGTCAACTTTTTGAAATTTCACAATTTGGTGACTTTTTACAATAACTTTCATGTATTTGACTGAAAACGAAATCCCTAGGGCAGAAATACAATAAATATGGGGAAAATGTGATAATTTAGGCGCTTTTCAAACAAATTCCCATAGGGTCCAATAGTAAAATTTGACAGCTTTAAAGATGGCCCTCTTAGAAATCGGATGGTAAACATTTGATATTTTATCTTAAAATAATTAATAAAATAGTAAAAATTCATTCAAAAAAATTCATCAAAATATCTAGAGTAGAAGTAATTAGACTCGGCCTCGTTAATCCCCGATACACCTTATTTTACCAAGGTATTGTTAAAGAGCATCATTAACTAAGGTAATTTATTTCCCAAATCTGAGAAATCCGTGGGCACCTTTCATTTACTAGATCTTGCCCTTAATAAAAAAAAACTTGTCAACAAAATTGTCAAAATATTAAAAACTGGAATTCTGAACCTATAGTCATTTCTTAATCATTTTAGACTTCTTAATGTAGTCTTCGTTAGAAAATGATATCTAAGCCTTGACTATCACTGAGACCACGATATTTGATCTTTGATATATTTTTGCAAATGTAACACGTGTTATCGTTTTTATTATTACTTTCTTGTAAGTTCATGTACCTTATCTCCTACGAAGTGAATTTGTATTTTATCTTGATAGCCCACACACTCTTTGAAATCGAAATAGGGATTCTTTTCAATTCTTGATTAAATGTTGAGGTCAGTATGATGCCTTTAAATTTGAAAAAAAAATCAAATTATTTAAAGTAACGAATGTTTTCTCTCAACGCCCTCCTTATACCATCAGACTTACAATGAACCGGATTCAAATGGTTAAGATTGTTTAATGTCGAGATAATTGTGTGGACAAACTTAACACATACGTTACAACAGCGTGTAAAGATGCTGTTGATGAGTGTAATATCCGGTGCATTCTAAACTTCCGGTCTTGTTACAATGTGTGCGCCAGAATTCCATCATCAAACTCGACACTGGTTACCCAACCCGGCTCTTTCTTACTTCAACACAGACCTATAGTGTGATGTTTGGTTTGATAACACAAAATAATTTAATAAAAAATGAAATCCAGAAATTAGGGTTTTAATAGATTTTTACAGAAAAAAGTTACATTGTTTTACACGAAGGGTTTAATATAATAATGTAATACTTGATATATTGATTGATTGATTCAATAATAATGTTATCTGAAAAAAACGAGATTTTCACATTCGAATATTCATAATATATTTTTCGCATTTTCCCTTGAATTATTGTGAATACTGCATTATGATTTAAAGTATTCTTCCATTTTCTTTGTTCAAACGTAGAAGTTATGACAGATAAACGTTCTGACATTAAAATCTTATCTATCAGACATACTTTGTAACCCAATGCTTGTGATAAAGGCTATATGTAATTTGTGTATAGGAAAATGAGGTATGTCTTTATAATCCTTTTTTGAATGAACAATGCAGTGGTTTCTGATTCTCTATTGAAATGTAATTTCACTTTAACATGTCTTTATTTACAGATTACAAGAAGGGATAATAATCTTTTTCATTTGTCTCTATAATGCTGCATTAATTCTTGCTCAGGACCCGAATGCATTTCCGATGTTTATGGTCAAAACGACACTAAGTCCAATCTCATTGGAAAAAATGGAAGTCTGTCGTGAAAACTGTGGGGACACATATTACAGGTGTGCCTTAACTAAGTGTGATAATGAAGGGTGTGAAAACATGTGTCTTCTCATGTTTCGGTCCTGTTACAATGATTGTGATCAACGAAGACCCCCCAGTTTTGGACAATTTCGAGCAAGACCTTCACCTGTAGATTCTTATGTTATTCGGTTTTAGAATTCAATTGTTTAATAAGCATTGTATGATAATATTGTGAACATGTTTAACATAATGTGACCTTCAAAGCTCAGAGAATTTTAGAGGGTACTCGACATACATGTGTTGATATTTCTACGCATTCATTGTATCAAAAATTACAATAAAGTTAGCAAAAAATCGTAAATGATTTGCTTTCGTTATACTTTGAAGAAAGAAATAGTCATGTAGAAGTTATTTCTTCTGTGGTGTTAGTTTAACATTTTGTATCCTTAAGTTGGTGGGGATATAGTAACACCCTGTGAGTGGTTTTGTGAATTGGTTAGTGAGTGGGGGCGTGCGTAATGGAAGTAATAATATACATAGGGGTTGATGTGCTCCGCTTTGCGGTGCTCTTGCTGAATTGGTGATGAATACTTTCCCTGACTAAAAAAATGTCAACTTTCTTTCAGGTTATTTTGTATTCACAGAAACTGGTGTAATTGTTATAACTTATACAATTTTGTCCGGGTTCAGATCTATGAAAGTCAAATTAATGTGCAGTTTCGCTAAATTAAAACTTTTATTTTTGACATCTACGCATATTTGCTTATAATAACACTAAAAAAATATCTTACTATTTTAATTACATCAGATTATTTGATTGAAGTCTATATAATCAATAAGATAAATATTAAAACATTTTGAATTAGATAGAACATTTTGATATCTGTAACCTTGATAACATTGCAAGAAAACGTTGTATTGACCTCTCTGACTTGATAATATTTTATGTAAAGCCATTTTGATATTGCAGGCATCGGGACAATGAAGCAGTTTTAGACCTAAGTCAAAATTTCAGTCAATCATAAAATCAGTATTTATTTGAAGCGACCATTGAAAATTATAATTAACAATATGAAGGGGGAACACCTGTAATCATATTTCAAATTTTATATGTTTTCTGTAACGAAATTTTAGGAAAATGTAGGAAATTTTGTGTCAAGTCTAAAACTTTTCATGATCCTTGTCCATACCAATGAGCCTCATTGTCACAACTTTCCTGACATTCTTTTAACCTTTTGTTCGCAGTCACTCGTCTCTGTAACAAATATTTTAACCCATAGTAGAATAATAACAGCGTAACAGGAAGTGGTACCACATCATGGTGCGAGATGAATTTTTCAATCAGCGAGCAAAGTTTTAAGCTGTTTTTGGAGATAAAGAAAATAAAAACAAACCTGATTAATGTGGTTTTGTAGATAAAATATGATGCAATTTCTTCTGAGAGTGTAAGTGACTGCGATTCTGTAGAGGAGAGAGAGAGAGAGAGAGAGAGAGAGAGGAGGGGTCTATATAATTCGAGTTAGATACCTTGTCTTAATATTGTACTATGGTATAAAACTATTGCAGAAACAAGTGTCTGCTCTTTAGTTATACGGTTTTGGTGATGTATGAAATTTCCCAAGTAGGAAAATGAAAAAGTTTTCTATTTTTACTTCTAACAAAGACAATTTTTTTTCTACGTGTAGATGTGAGAATGCTCATCCTCTGCAGTTGTTTAAATATCTAAACCCTGCTATTCGCCAGGTAGTGTATCTAAATTCCACATATTACGAAAAACAGAAAAGCATTGAGAAGAATCAGATTATTCTCGTATTGATAAAGTACAGAGTTTGGAGATACGAGAAAAAAAATCCCTGTAAATGACCGGAAACGTATATTCTTCATCAAATGAAAAAGAAGAGGAATTAAATTTTGTTTAGATTTGATTTTTTTTTAATAAACAAAGGGTAAATATAATAAAAAAAATTTTTATGTACGATCTAGTATGGCGAAATTTATTGAACTGATTAATTCTGTCTAAGAGATTATACTTGGGAAATGTGTACAGGATACTTTTGTTAAATTACCTGTCTAACACCTTTTGGTCAATGTGAAAAGCTCTCGTTACACTAGTATTTGTTGTAATATATGTAATGTATAATAATACGCCAATAAAGATTTACTCGATAAGCTATCATTAAAATTCATTACAATATTAAATAACAATGATTTTCTCCATGTTTAATCACGCATGCAGCTTGCTAGAGACAATGTATGCGCATGTATCATATTTTGTTATGAAGAAATGCATTTAAGGCATCAAGCTTATGCTAAAGTGAAATAATTTTCACATATTAAAAAACATGTGCTTACTTGCATTGTGTAAACAATGTCTGCATTAGATGGTGAGGCGTAAAAGATTTGATGCAGTTTTTCAAACTTATCACAAGCCCTATCTAGACCAAGAGTATATCTGGGTCAGCATTCTAGGTATATGTGTACGTCAGTTTGTGTCTGATTGATACTGTGTGAGAAAGATAAGCTTGTAGGTTTTTGAAATATTTGTCATGATCAATACGTCTTATTTTCAAGTACCCCAAATGATAAATAACATTTTTTTAACACACAAAAAATATTGATCACTTTAAAAAATTCAATTATTTCATTTATCTCTCTAGCCAGACATAACTTACAATCTGCATGATCTATTACTTGGCTATATCGTAGTATTCACATAATCAAATAATAGCAGTTTGTCTGTATTTTATATATTGATGGATAAATTTTTCTTTCAATTTTGATAATTACCAGTATATACCAAGCGTGTCATTAAGTATA